TTAAAAAAAATTGTGCTACAGCCAGGGGCAGCATAAAATTACTTAAAATTTTGTAGTTTTTGGTTCTGATTGATTCTGTAATTATTAAATAATTCTGTAAACAAATTTTGAAAAAAAAAACATATTTGAAAATTTGACATTTTCTGTACTTCAAAATTAAATACAATTCTTGGACAAATGTCAGGTATCTATTAGACGTGGGTTAACTCTGTAATATCTTTAGTTCCAAATAACTCTTCAATAGATTAGAACTCAGAGCCATCTGCCAAAGCAATTTTATCAAGCAAATATTATTTATTTATTGGAAATAGAATAGTTCTTCGATAAAAAAATAAATAAATTTAGAATTGTTTTTTTAAATCTCTTAGGTATAACATCTCCAGCAAAAAAGCCTAAGATAACAGCAAGATCATCTACAGGTGGAGATCTCTCAGCATTCCTCAGATACCTGGAGAGGAAAGATGAATATGAAAGGAAATTAAGACAGAATGAAATGGATCTTCGTCGAGAGGAACTTGAGCTCCATAAAAAAGAGCTTGAAATGCAAAGGGAAAAGTTTGAATTTGACAGACTTGAAAGGCAGGCTCATCTAGAGCTGTTGAAAGCCCAGTTAGAGACATTCACCGGACACAAAGCAGCTAAAATTGTGATTCCAGATGGGAAAGTTTTGGATGGGAATGCTGTGACTGAGTATACAATAGTTGTGAACAATGACCAAGCTTTTGCTACCCAATGACTATCTGAGTAAAATATTGAGCCTCTGTCTAATCTATTATTTAGTCCTTCACTCTAAGTTTGGAGCCCAATATTGCAGATTCACATAATGTTAATTCTATGTGGCTCAATATCTTGGATAGGTCAGAATAGCACAATTAACTGTAAGATCTGTAAAGCTTTTTTGGCTTTAAAGATCCATTTAGAGTTACATTATCTTTAGATTTTTGTATAAAAAAGGATTAAATATTAACAGTGGGGCATTAGAAGGTTAAAAAAAAGTTTTGCTAATATGTGTATTAAATGTATTATAAACTATTATGAATCAGTTGTACAGTTGTGTAAATAGTATGGTGGCATTTCTCTTCATCCAAAAACAAAAATGAATAACTTGACATTGTTTAATACTTTCACTTTAAATGATTATGTCAAGAAATGTTGGTGCTACCAATCAAAATATGTATTATATATATATATATATATATGTAAATATTATGTTGTTATGATAGCTTATTCATTGGATGAAAGTTGTTTACTTTTTCCTCTGGTGTTTCACTAAAAGTGTTGAATGTTCAGTTCCGCAAGCTATCATATTATTACTTCTTTGACAATGATAATGTCTTATGTTCATAAAGTTCTGTAAATAATTATGTTGTTGACATTTGAAATCAATGAATTTGTTTTTGTTTCCATTGCTGATGGCAATAAATTGAATGTCTTAATGAACTTTATGATTTTGTTAGTAAATAGTAAATTGATTCAAAGTAAACAATTCTGAATATGTATGATAATGATTTGGCTTCCAAATCTAGAGGTCTCGAGTTAAAATCCTGGTGAAGACTGGGATTTTTAGGACATCCCCCTAACATGGGCATAGCCAGGATTTTTTGGGAAAGGGGGGGGGAGAACCCCTGGCCAATATATGTGTGTGTGCGTGTAAATAATAAATCTTTATTACAATCTGACTCTTCATTCTTTCAGAAGACATTTATTGTACCCTAGAATAGGTTCTTCCTGGAGTTAGTGGAAAAATTGTAAACTCTCAGCTGTTGCCAGCAAGAGGTTCTGGGGAAGTGCTGTGAGTTCCTCCAGTGGGGTTCAGGGCTGAGCCCTGCCGCCAAACACTATTTCCGGTATTGAAAGATTACAAAATGCATATTCTGAGGTATCTACAGTGCATTATCCTGCTATTAAAAAGTTATATTTCAAAAAAACTAATCTGCTATTCTTACTTACTTAGATCCTCACACGCCGTTTGGTGCATTGGACAGCAAGCTGCTTCCACAAAAATCTGTCACTGACAATGTCTGAAGCCTCTTCTCACCTGCTCATGGACTGCCTTGAAAGAGGGGCGCCAAGTCGTACTAGGATGTCCCTGTTTGCATTTTCCTCGAAATGGCGTGCAACTCTTATTATGCCTTTATTCATTTTTTCCCTAACCTTACTAAGGGGTCAACTCCTAGTTCAGCATAGGATCTCCTTGATTGAGACCCAATCTCCATAACGGACTTCTAAAATCTGTCTTAGCCATCTTTGTTGAACCACATTTAGTCCTTTTCAATTTTGGCAGATGACTATTCACTGCACTTTATAAATGGAGCCTAGCCACTGGAAGAAATTTGTAACCTCTCTTTGCCACGCTCTTGTAATTAAGTTTGCTTTAGATTTTATATCGAAAATAGAAGTTTTATCGTCAAAATAATCTGTTGGGGGGTTTTAAACTAAATGATCTCTGGAATTTTTTTTTAAACAAATTTAAAACCCTCTTAGCTACGCTCATAGAATTTGGGGAATTTAGTTTGCTTTAGAATAATATTGAAGAGAGAGGTTTCTACCTCCAAAACTCTGTAAGGGGATTTTAATCTCAAAACCATCTGGAGGGGTTTTCTTCTTCTAACAAGCTTTATTGCTGCTGAGCTGTGAGCTCTTTTGCAGACTGTGCCAAGGAAAAATAGTGTGCTGTGTTCTTCAGCACTTCTGTACAGGGTGTCGGTTATGTTGGGCTGTAGTAGAAGTAGGATCTGCCTAAGGTGGATTAGGAAGGGGCATTCAAAGAGGATATTGATATGGTTTACGGTTTCATAAGGGCGCAGTGTCTACAAAGGGGAGTTGTGTGGAATTTATTTTGTTCAGATGGTAATTTAACAGAGGTGTGTGTCCTGCTCTTAGTTGGAAAATTGTAGATTGCTCTTTTGCGGGGGAGGAAGTTAATACTGTCCAGTTTGTTAGGCATAGTCATTTCTTTGTACATGGCTCTGCCTGTGTTTCCTGATGCCCATTGGTTGAGCCACTCCTCTTTGTGAGGGGTTTTAAACTTTTAAGAAAAACCCTCTGAAGGAGGGGGTTTAAACTCAAACCCCCCACCCCCACTTGGCTTGGCTACGCTCATAGAATTTTTAGTGTGTAATTCGCTTTTTTTTTTTTTTATATTGAAGAGGTATTTTTTAACTTCAAACCCCTCTGAAGGGGGTTTAAACTCAAAACCCCTTTTGGATAAGCCCATAGCATTTGGAATGTGTAATTTGCTTTTTTTTTTTGCATTGATGACGTATTTTTTAGCTTCAAACCCTTCTTTTTGATTGTGTAATTTGCTTTTTTTTACATTGAAGAGGTGGTTTTTAACTGCAAATCCCGATGGAGAAGGGTTTTAAAAATAAAACTCCTCTTGGCTACGTTCAGAGAATATGGTGACTGATGAATGGATAGTCATATATTGAAGGGGTTTCACTGTTAATTTAAAATCAAAATCTTCCTTAGCTATGCTATTGGAATTTGGGGATTGTCGTTTGCATTATTTTTTTTAGCGGCCCCTGAAAGGGAAAAGATGCTATTAGTTTTGTGCGAAATGTCTGTCCATCTGTCCTGTTTAGATCTCGTAAACTAGAAAAGATATTGAAAATGTGACACAATATTTTAGACCATTCAAAGTTCTGATGCAACAGCTACTTTTTTTTTTCTGAAAGCGAAAAATATAATTTTTAAAATCAGTTATGCAAGCAGTTTTTTAAAGAGAAAAAGCTAATTAGTATGCATTATAAGTTAGACCTAATTTAAAACGAATAGTAATCTTGTAAACTTCATTTTCATGAACTTTTTTTATATTGCGGAAAATTTTGTTTTTGTTTTGAGGATTCGAATAAGAGATTGAACATTTTTCAAAACAATTAGATCAATTATGAGACATCAGTTAGGCCAGGGGAGGTGCGGTGGCTGAGCGGTAAAGCGCTTGGGTCCCGGGCTCGAATCCTGATGAAGAATGGGATTTTTAACTTTGGAATCTTTGGGCGTCCACTCAGCTCTAATGGGTACCTGACATTAGTTGGGGAAAAGTAAAGGCGGTTGTGTTGTGCTGGCTACATGACACCCTGGTTAACCGTAAGCCACAAAAACAGATGAACTTTACATCATCTGCCCTATAGACCACAAGGTCTGAAAGGGGATACTAGTAAGGCCAGGTTCACATCTAACTTTGCATTCACTTTCACCTATCCTTTGATCTGCTGGATCGTTGGGGCACTACACAAGATCTATTAACCTTCTTTCTCCATTCTTATCTCTCATTTGTCTTTGATATAATTTCATTCGAATGTTCTTTCTGAAAATATTGAAGCCTGCCTGGGTGGACCACTTCAGGGGCCGATTTTGAGTTTGTGTTTCCACACAAACTGTCTTTTGTAATCTTGTTGTTTTTGTTTTATAGAAGAGGGGGATTTAACTTCAAACCTCCCCTTGGCTGCGCTGGACAAGTGATGGTCTAGTATTAAAATCTCACCTAAATAAACAAAATCAAAGCATAACCCCACCTCCCCTCTGGCTACACTCATGTCCCCTAATATATATTTGAGAAGTAAAGGCAAGTATTGTTCTGGCCATTAACATCTACTTTAGAAATGATGAGCTTTATATAACCTGCTCCAATATATTGCAAGGTCTTTACCTATCTTTTGGAGATCAGGCCTACTTGCTGTTTGGAGAATAACAATGATTTGCTTAACACAAGCAATGAATTGATTAAAAACTTTATTTTTTTTTTTTAACATAATTCATTACAATAATAAAATTGACCAATCATTTATAGAAGGCCTGAACACAGAACTGCAATGACACAACCTGTGGGCAAATTAGACTGATAGCTTGTTACCTTGTCACAGGTCATGATGTCAAACCTGTGATGTGGCATCAAGCTATTGGTCTAAATAGCCCACTGGTTGCTGTCCCAGGTCAGTTGTTCAGGCCTTTCCTAACTTAGTAGTTTAAACATAAAAAAAATAGATCTTGTATTAAATGAAATATGTGTGACACTTTTCTTCACTTTGAAATATCCACTTAGCAAGAAAGAACAAACTTGACACCATCTATTATAAAAATAATGGCTTAGCTTATTTATTGTCAGAAATGTACAGATCCCTAGAAGTGGGCATGAAATGATGGTTGAAGTTTGATTTCCATCTACAAATTTGCTAAACTTTTACAAAGGATAGAAATTAATATTTGAACATAAACAATGAACCAATACCTGTTAACTGTAACATGTCAGCACAGGAGTAACTTTTCCTCCACCAAATCTTTACAAATCAAACATGCCAGACATAATCAAATATAATGCATTCATGTATAAAAGCTTTTATGGACGGATAAAGACTTCACTAGCACAGAAGTTTTTTATTACAAATTGATGAATGTAAACAAAAGCTATGGCTACTAATACTTATGAGAGTATACAAAGAAAGCTAATGATAATAAAATTATGAGCTGCAGAAAGTTGTATTGTGGGTATAACATTTATCACAGAGTAAAAAAAAATGTTTTTAGCTTACAATTACGATACAAAACTTTAAAACAAAAGTTTTAAAATGTAAGAAGAACAATGATATAATGAACGTATATCTATTTATACAATTCAAGAATTGTGAAAAAAGTACATAAATATATACAATACTGATGTATGTTTATTTTGATTTTGCTAACTGCAAATCAGAATTAAAATTTGGTGTTAGCAACTTATAGACCTAGATATAATTGTAAATTTATTTTGTCTGTTCTTGAAGGTTTATAGTATGAGTTAAAGATAATATCGACTAAACTTATTTAACATAACTACAAATTATTTTATCCTCCATTCGCTTTCTTTAAATCATTAATACAAAATAAAACTTAGTTCATTACAAACAAAACTTAAAATGTGAGTTTTGCAATGAATTTTATAAAATGAAAGCTGAATATTTTTCATAATTAAAAGTTTGCTGCAATAAATATAATAATAAAATGGCTATTTGTTTACCAACAAGTACAATTAGTCCTTGGGAAACTAGTACTACATCCTAGTAAATATCACAATAAGTTTAATGCACTTTGATCACAGCACTTGCACATCTTGCCTTTTCAAGTTGGGTGGACAGGTCCCTAACTTTATCTGACCAATACTCACTACTCTCTTGCAGTTGAATAGATAACTGTTGAAATAGATACAATTAATTAATTTTTTTTGTATGTTCCATTTTTAATATATTAAATTAAAATAATTATAACTGTTCCTATTTTAAAACCCTAACATACTTGGAATGACAAAAATTATAACAAAAGTTAAGAATCATGTTACTGTTGTTAATGGAACTAAAACAATGGCAAGTTTTTTAAAAAGACAAAAATGAAAAAAGTAATACAAGTATTTAGAATGATAAAAATATAAATTGAAAATGTTTATGGGTTTTCAATACAATGAAAGCATCACAGGTTATAAGGGGAGGGAAAGTAAGCTTGAAGTCTAAACACTTTGATTATTATTTAAATAAAACAAAAATTAACATGTAAGGAGTCTTATTTTAATACTGCTACTTTATGTTAGGAAAGGACATAAAGAGTACCAGTACTTTAGGTTTGAAAAGAAATATAGAAACTTTGATGATAGGGTCGAGAATTTTGAAACTGTCTAGAAAAGTCTTTTGGGAGACTAGAAAAGTCAAACCAAGCGAGATATGAGGTGGCAGGAGCAAGGGTGTGTAAGATCAGAAAATGTGTCTAGGTTTATTTATTTAGTGTGAGTTTTTTATTCAGGGGAGGTTATGTGTATTGACCAATAGTCAATTGGAGAGCTTATATGGTTCTGGTCAGGAGTAGTGTATGAAGGGGATATATTTATGTTCTTATGTATTATATTGCATAAGTGGAATATTCTTGTAAATAAATCTTATGACTTTTGTGCTCCATTGTTGAGTGTTAGTATAGACGTTCACTTAAAAATGGTAAGCCTAGGTAACATCTCCTACATTTGTAAGTAATACACACTATCAGAATCATACCTCTAACCTCTACCTATTGCATATACCGAATGACCAGCATAAAATAGCACTTTTACATTGGGGTGGGGGTGGGTTGTGTGTGTCCATCTATACCCTGTTACAGTAGGTATATAGTAGGGAGCACCAACTAAAACTCTTGACCTTGGGGTCATCTTTGGCTTTTATTTATTAGTCATTAGAGGTCAGTCATTTGTTCAGCTTTATATAACAGCAATATTATCTGTCAAGCTATTATACTGCTCAAATAATTTGTATAAGCGATTTGTTTGAGTGAATTTCGTTCATCAATGGAATAATTGTTTCATTGAGTTTGAAGATATTAAACAAGAAAAATTGTGTTATGTTACTTTGACAGACGAAAAGGATAATGCATAGCATTAACAACACAACTCAACAATATATGACAATGCATATTCTAATATTGGTCTAACCAAAGTTAAATAGCATTAAGTTTTATGTTCTCGTTGATTTGTAAAAATTTCATGCCATGTTAATGACATTCAAAACATTCTATGGCGGCCTTCATTTAAATGGAGACAAAACATTAAATCATGACCAGCATTTTGTAGATAAGAATGTAAAAGGTTTAAATTACTAAGAATATAGTTGCTATACATGTTTAAATGAAAATTATTTGAAAATACAGTCAAACTTGGTTAAATTTCATGAGGTAGCTTTGATAACCATGCTACAGCTATAATTTCTATGCAAGTTTTGAACACTGATTTGCAGTTCTGATTACTATAGTATGACATTGATTTAGCAAGGCTTTGATTATTGTCACATCAAAAAACAAACTAGGTGCTCAATTTATCCAAGTTTTATGACATGAACTCTGATCTATTAGTTCATATAATGTTTTGTTTGAAGAAAATGAGTGAACTATAAGATAAAAGAAAAACAAAAAGTATGTTAAGAGTACATCACCATGTTAAGTGGAAGGTAAGTACAATTAGTAATAGGAAGGCATAAGAAACATTAATAAACATTGTTATGATAAAGATAACCAAAGTAGTATGAAGACTCAAGACTAAAAGTCAGTCATACTACCATACCTGTAAATAATTGGGAAAACTAACAGCTAGCTCTAACTGCTTTTAGGATTTGACTTTCTGTTGTCGAAATAAAGTGAACATTTTACATTTACAAAAAAAAATAAAAAATTCCAAAAGCATCAACAAATTTAGCCACATTTAATTAACACAAAATATTTCAAAGCTTGGTAAACAAAAGGTATAATATAATATAATTATAGTCATTTATTAAAAAAAAAAAACAATAACATAAATAATTCACTGAAATGAAACTGTTATTTAAAATTAATGATTTTTTAAAGACGTGAAACTAATAACAAATCACTCAACAATCAGTGCATTGAAAGTAAAAAATTATTTCTAAACAGAACTCGAAACCCCTGTTGCCCCCAAAAAAGTAAAGAACACAAACACTAGCTAGAAGGCAAAAAAAAATAACCCGTTACCTCTCCAACTCTCTGTATCCAATAGGATTTGTCAAGACTGAGAGGATCTAATCCACTACTTTCTTCAGCTGCTTTACTCAATGCTATTCTAGACTGTCAAAAGAATAAAAAAGGAAATCAATTTAGTATCAGTTATTTGTTTTTCCAGTTGATAGTTAAAACCATGGCTCATACTCTGTGACTAGTTAACATCTACTCAGTGATAGCTGACAAAATGAAAACAATTGTACGGTTTAAAGTAATTAGGATTTTTTGGGGCACAATTTCAATAAACGCAATAAAATTATCAATAAACATTATTAAACTAGCATAGATAACAAGTACAATAAAAATAAACCAAATATCTGTGAAATCAAGTGAAGCAGTCTAAAACAACTATATGGAAATTATAAACAATACACAAATGAGATATTATAAAATATAAATAAAAGGAATAATAATTTAGTTACAGGAGACAAACTAAATAGAAGACAAAAAGTTCACAGGACACTTGGATTTGTATTTCTAGTATACAGAAATTTAAAGTTTTAAATGAAGAGATGAGCCTAAAATACCGTAGGAATAGATCAATTGGATGGAGGAAATTAATTTTGACTGAGAATAATTTCATGCTGATCTGTCACTTCTTTTCAAGACATTCATTGCTCTAGCATACAAGGGAGGGAGGTAAAAAAAAAAAAAGAGATTTACAGTATTTCTCATCAGGATGAACACAAAAATATTGGCATGGCTGGAAGGTAAAAGCTAGGTTTTTTTTGAAGTTCAAACACAAACCACTGGCAGTCGAAAAAGTTATCTAATGAGTCCTAGCCAAAATTTGTTTTATTAAAATAATTTTGACACATTGAATGTACCACGAAGATTATTGAGTAAATTTAACTTTGAAAACAATTATAGAGATTATTTATTGAACTTAGATGCACTATTTTTCAACATTTCTTACCAGTTTTTCAGGATCTTTAATTTGGTCTGATTTTTCAAAAAGTCGCTTGTATGCTCCTGACTCCAGCTGTGATCTCATGCTTTCCACCAACTGGTCTTTGCCCTGAAGCTGTAGCTCCAGATTTTGTCTGGTACTCAACTCTCTGTCTAACTCACTGCGGAGCCTCAGGTTTTCTTTTTGTATGTTTGACAACTGGATAACAGAGAATCAAATGTGTACTTTGAATAAGCGGATAACAGAATCAAATGTGTACTTTGAATAAATGGATAACAGAATCAAATATGTACTTTGAAGAACTGGACAACAGAGAATCAAATATATACAATAAATAACCAGATAACAGAATCAAATATATACTTTGAAGAACTGGACAAAAGAGAATCAAATATATATACCATAAATAACCAGATAACAGAGAATCAAATATATACTTTGAAGAACTGGACAACAGAGAATCAAATATATACCATAAATAACCAGATAACAGAGAATCAAATATATACTTTGAAGAACTGGAAAACAGAGAATCAAATATATACTTTGAAGAACTGGAAAATAGAGAATCAAATATATACCATAAATAACCAGATAACAGAGAATCAAATATATACTTTGAAGAACTGGAAAATAGAGCATCAAATATATACTTTGAAGAACTGGAAAACAGAGAATCAAATATATACCATAAATAACCAAATAACAGAGAATCAAATATATACTTTGAACAAATGGACAACAGAGAATGATTTCTACTAAACTGCAATTTTGTTTGTATAATAGAAAGCACTTTACAGAATGTCTGTTGTACAATTGTTTTTAAAAGCATGGTTGCATTTTTCTATTAACATTATTTATATAAGTTTGTACAAATTCTTCACCTGTTGATTAAGTTTATGTATGTTTTCAATGTTTGACTTCAGACGATGATGGAGATCTTCAATTGCTGCCTCTTTTGTTTTCAAATCTTCATCTTGTTCCACTCTGTTACAAAAAGTAGACAAAGATGGTATTAGGATGTACAAAATTGTAGCTCATGTTGGTTATTGAACTTATGTCTTTGCCTATTGCTTATGGGAATGAATTAAAGAACTGCTATAACAGGAAAGAAAAAAGATAAACTGCAGTTCCAATAATATTTTTGCATAGTGATATACATTATTAAGATTTAATCTAAGTTTAACATACTCATGTTCTTCCAGTCTACTCTTCAGCTGGTTGAGGATGATTTGTTGGTGGACAGAATGTGTTTGAAGTGCCTGATGAATACAAACATAAACATTCTTATATAAATGTTAAAGTTTTTGATGCTTTGTAAAGAAATAAATCCTACAAACTGAAA